TGCACTCAGAGTAACATCACAAACATATTATTCACCTGAGTACACAACACCAGCACAGAAAAAAATAATATTACAAGAACACATTGGTATTGAAGGAACTAGATACTGTTCCGAAATATCACTTACTCGAACCGTCCTGACCGCGTAGCTCAGTTGGAAGAGTATTGGGCTAGTATTCCAAAGGTCGTAGGTTCGAATCCCACCGTGGCCGGGCATATTTTCAAGCTCGCCCGGTGTGGATATGCACTCAGAGTAACATGGCAAACATATTATTCACCTGAGTACACAACACCAACACAGAGAAAAAAGAAATTCATATTACTAGAAGATATTGGTATTGAAGGAACCAGATACTGTTCTGAAATATCACTTACTCGAACCGTCCTGACTGCGTAGCTCAGTTGGAAGAGCATTGGGCTAGTATTCCAAAGGTCGTAGGTTCGAATCCCACCGTGGCCGGGCATACTTTTCAAGCTCGCCCGGTGTGGATATGCACTCAGAGTAACATCACAAACATATTATTCACCTGAGTACACAACACCAACACAGAAAAAAATTCATATTACAAGAACACATTGGTATTGAAGGAACTAGATACTGTTCCGAAATATCACTTACTCTAACCGTCCTGACCGCGTAGCTCAGTTGGAAGAGCATTGGGCTAGTATTCCAAAGGTCGTAGGTTCGAATCCCACCGTGGCCGGGCATATTTTTCAAGCTCGCCCGGTGTGGATATGCACTCAGAGTAACATCACAAACATATTATTCACCTGAGTACACAACACCAGCACAGAAAAAATTCATATTACAAGAACACATTGGTATTGAAGGAACCAGATACTGTTCCGAAATATCACTTACTCGAACCGTCCTGACCGCGTAGCTCAGTTGGAAGAGCATTGGGCTAGTATTCCAAAGGTCGTAGGTTCGAATCCTACCGTGGCAGGGCATATTTTTCAAGGTCGCCCGGTGTGGATATGCACTCAGAGTAACAGCGCAAACATATTATTCACCTGAGTACACAACACCAACACAGAGAAAAAAAAATTCATATTACTACAACATATTGGTATTGAAGGAACTAGATACTGTTCCGAAATATCACTCACTCGAACCGTCCTCACCGCGTAGCTCAGTTGGAAGAGCATTGGGCTAGTATTCCAAAGGTCGTAGGTTCGAATCCCACCGTGGCCGGGCATATTTTCAAGCTCGCCCGGTGTGGATATGCACTCAGAGTAACATGCAAACATATTATTCACCTGAGTACACAACACCAACACAGAGAAAAAAAAAATTCATATTACTAGAACATATTGGTATTGAAGGAACTAGATACTGTGCCGAAATATCACTTACTCGAACCGTCCTGACCGCGTAGCTCAGTTGGAAGAGCATTGGGCTGGTATTCCAAAGGTCGTAGGTTCGAATCCCACCGTGGCCGGGCATATTTTTCAAGCTCGCCCGGTGTGGATATGCACTCAGAGTAACATCGCAAACATATTATTCACCTGAGTACACAACACCAACACAGAAAAAAAAATTCATATTACAAGAACACATTGGTATTGAAGGAACTAGATACCGTTCCGAAATATCACTTACTCGAACCGTCCTGACCGCGTAGCTCAGGAAGAGCATTGGACTAGTATTCCAAAGGTCGTAGGTTCGAATCCCACCGTGGCCGGGCATATTTTTCAAGCTCGCCCGGTGTGGATATGCACTCAGAGTAACATCGCAAGCATATTATTCACCTGAGTACACAACACCAACACAGAAAAAAAATTCATATTACTAGAACACATTGGTATTGAAGGAACTAGATACTGTTCCGAAATATCACTTACTCGAACCGTCCTGACCGCGTAGCTCAGTTGGAAGAGCATTGGGCCAGTATTCCAAAGGTCGTAGGTTCGAATCCTACCGTGGCCGGGCATATTTTTCAAGCTCGCCCGGTGTGGATATGCACTCAGAGTAACATCGCAAACATATTATTCACCTGAGTACACAACACCAACACCGAGAAAAAAAATTCATATTACTAGAACATATTGGTATTGAAGGAACTAGATACTGTTCCGAAATATCACTTACTCGAACCGTCCTGACTGCATAGCTCAGTTGGAAGAGCATTGGGCTAGTATTCCAAAGGTCGTAGGTTCGAGTCGGGCCGTGGCCGGGCATGTTTTTCAAGCTCGCCCGGTGTGGATATGCACTCAGAGAAACATCGCAAACATATTATTCACCTGAGTACAGAACACCAACACAGAGAAGAAAAAAATTCATATTACTAGAACATATTGGTATTGAAGGAACTAGATACTGTACCGAAATATCACTTACTCGAACCGTGCTGACCGCGTAGCTAAGTTGGAAGAGCTTTGGGCTAGTATTCCAAAGGTCGTAGGTTCGAATCCTACCGTGGCCGCGCATATTTTTCAAGGTCGCCCGGTGTGGATATGCACTCAGAGTAACAGCGCAAACATATTATTCACCTGAGTACACAACACCAACACAGAAAAAAAAAATTCATATTACTAGAACATATTGGTATTGAAGGAACTAGATACTGTTGCAAAATATCACTTACTCGAACCGTCCTGACCGCATACCTCAGTTGGAAGAGCATTGGGCTAGTATTCCAAAGGTCGTAGGTTCGAGTCGGGCCGTGGCCGGGCATGTTTTTCAAGCTCGCACGGTGTGGATATGCACTCAGAGTAACATCGCAAACATATTATTCAACTGAGTACAGAACACCAACACAGAGAAAAAAAAAATTCATATTACTAGAACATATTGGTATTGAAGGAACTAGATACTGTGCCGAAATATCACTTACTCGAACCGTCCTCACCGCGTAGCTCAGTTGGAAGAGCATTGGGCTAGTATTCGAAAGGTCGTAGGTTCGAATCCCACCGTGGCCGGGCATATTTTCAAGCTCGCCCGGTGTGGATATGCACTCAGAGTAACATGGCAAACATATTATTCACCTGAGTACACAACCCCAACACCGAGAAAAAAAAATTCATATTACTAGAACATATTGGTATTGAAGGAACTAGATACTGTTCCGAAATATCACTTACTCGAACCGTCCTGACTGCGTAGCTCAGTTGGAAGAGCATTGGGCTAGTATTCCAAAGGTCGTAGGTTCGAATCCTACCGTGGCTGGGCATATTTTTCAAGGTCGCCCGGTGTGGATATCCACTCAGAGTAACAGCGCAAACATATTATTCACCTGAGTACACAACACCAACACAGAGAAAAAAAAATTCATATTACTAGAACATATTGGTATTGAAGGAACTAGATACTGTTCCGAAATATCACTTACTCGAACCGTCCTCACCGCGTAGCTCAGTTGGAAGAGCATTGGGCTAGTATTCCAAAGGTCGTAGGTTCGAATCCCACCGTGGCCGGGCATGTTTTTCAAACTCGCCCGGTGTAGATATACACTCAGAGTAACACCACAAATATCATATTCACCTGAGTACACTACACCAACACAGAAAAAATTCATATTACTAGAATACATTGGTATCGAAGGAACTAGATTCTGTTCCGAAATATCACTTACTCGAACCGTCCTGACCGCGTAGCTCAGTTGGCAGAGCATTGGGCTGGTATTCCAAAGGTCGTAGGTTCGAATCCCACCGTGGCCGGGCATATTTTTCAAGCTCGCCCGGTGTGGATATGCACTCAGAGTAACACCACAAATATCATATTCACCTGAGTACACTACACCAACACAGAAAAAAACTACATATATTATTGCACTCAGCAAATAGCATTCGCGAATAGCACTCAGTAAATTCGCAGTAATGGTTAGAATTACAGAACCAATACGATTTAAACCTGATTCATAAATAACTCTGAATTTCATTCTGATTCTTGAGAGTTCTACTTCTGGGAGGACCAGTCTTCATTTTACAAAAATTGCTTTCGTGTAGGATCCTATAAACAGCCCTTATAATTATGTAGGGTCTGACTATACATGGAGAGTTTTCAGCCCGGCCTGAGTTTCATCCCAGTTTCCCAGGCTGAAATTTCAGCTCGGCCTAACTGATAAAATCTGCCCCCTAGAGTGACATGTCTGTCTATTTTAGTTACGTGTTGCAGTTAATATCTCTCGTCAATAAAACGCTGAACGTCAAGGTGAACGCGTGCACAAAACTTGAGACACCTTATGGCATGGAACTAAGATGGCGATTGCCTGGTGCAATGCATTTTCACATTCATCTCAAAGATAATCAAAAGGTTATTAGAATGTTAGGGTTTGTAATCCAAGTGAGAATATATCATAGATATCTTATATACACTAGATAGTGCATCTAATTATTCTGCGATTCAAAAATTGAAGCCGTGATTGCAGTCTCAGGTCGTTCCCATGAAATGAGATCAGAAGATTCGTATGTTTTCTATTTCTTAAACAGGGAACTTAAACATTAAGTTAACCCTATTCCAAATATGTTTTTAAACTATTCAAATGATGAAAATTATTGTTGTTTTTAAACGTTTATTAGCAAGTGGGAACGACCAATATGGCCGCCATCTATTCAAATGGGGGTAACCGCTGGAATATTCCTGGCTTCTATTTTAATAAAAGAGATGCGCTATCTAGTGTATATAAGATATCTATGGAATATATACATGCATTTTAAGACCTAACCAGGAACGACTGCGAAAAATGCAGCACAAGGTCCTCTGGTAGGAATTGAACCTACGGCCCTGGGATTCCGATGCAGCGCTCTAACCAATTGAGCTACAGAGGCCAGCTGTTAAGCTGTAACCCTAAGTTCATGTATATATAGGTAATCGGGTGTGCGGGTTGTGATAACTGGTGAACTTCAATGATCTGGATTATTGCACTTCACTTGGTGGAATTAATATTAGAATGTTAGGGTTTGTAATCCAAGTGAGAATATATACATTTTAAGACATCCCGTCTATAACCAGAAGGTATCTGTGTATTATTCTACAAGTACAGAAAGGTTTTGTATAGCTGGAAATGTCCAGTGTGAATTTTAAACATTATTTAGACCTAACCAAAACCAGAACGACCCGCGGCCCTGCGATTCTGCTGCAGCGCTCCAGCCAACTGAGCTACAGAGATCACTTGTCGAACTCCAATCGCAATACTCATTATATATTACGGTACCAAGCTTACAAACCTACTACACACGCAAAAGTCTCACATCTTGTGGCAAGTCTGCCAACAAGTTGTGTACGCACTGCTTGTCCCAAGTTGTCAACAAGTTTGGAACAAGCTGTTAACAACTTGTAACAACCTTGTTGATATTATCAGACTTGTTGCAAGGTTGTTCCAACAAGTCCGATACAGTCATGATATAACAATGTTGTTACAACCTTGTGTCATCAACCTTGTAACATTCTTTTATATCATGACTGTATCAGACATGTTAGAACAACTTTGCTACAAGTCTGATAATGCCATCAAGCTTGTTACAAGTTGTTAACCCCTTGTTCCAAACTTGTTACAACAACTGGGAACAAGCAGTGCGAACACAACTTGTTGACAACTTGTGAACAGATTTGTAACAATTACTTGTTTGCAGAACTGTAACAACTTGTGCGTTTTTGCGTGTATAGACGACTAGTAGCTAAACGTTTACATTAACATCCCGTCTAGTATTACACAACAATATATAAATATACAGCTAATTCAAAAATCTTAAACTTTATAAACATTGAGCACGCAAGGTATAATGGGTAACTTCCTATTTAGAGGCTTATTAAACTGACATTTTATTTTATATATATACCGTTACTAAGGGCCTGTTCATATGGGCAAAAGTTATCCCGGTTAGCGAGAAAACTTTTCGACAAGTTTACAAGCGAGATCTCGCCTTGGTATGAAAACAATATGAAAAGTTACACTGCGTTTTTCAATTCAATTGATGTTCAGTGCTACGTCACAGGCGGAAACTTTACCCGGTAAGCGGGATAACGTTTCTCCATATGAACAGAACAAAAGTATTTGGCTAGTCGAAACGTTTTCTCGTTAACTGGGATAACTTTTTCCCATATGAACAGGCCCTAATTGTATCTTTGTAATGCAGGTGAAGAACAAGAAACGCTGGAGTCAAGTTATGTACATGTCGTACGTTCTGGATTTTAAAATCAAACAAATGGGAGGTAAATCCACTCTTTATCTATACAATTTCCATCTATAGGAACAACTTTCAGTCGATAGAGGTGCAGGGGGTGTATTGAGCGGGAGTAGTGTCTCATGCATTAATTTTCTCAGACCTTTTTTGCGCAACCTTCTTGCATACTACTATAGCTAGAAATATTACCAAGATAACTAAGTTTGGGAAATATTTCTCCAGTTCTTGAGGAAGACACGTACATCCTGACGACAGATGCCGACGTTCGGTTTGACGCAGATTCTGTTGAAGCTCTTCTTGATCGTTTGATACGGGACCCTAATGTCGGTGCTGTTTGTGGTCGGACACATCCCTTGGGACATGGACCACTGGTCTGGTACCAGATGTTTGACTATGCGATTGGTCATTGGTTTCAAAAGGTACGGACTCAAATGCCAAAATGACTTTTGGTATGAGTGTAATCTTTGGGTAATTCTGAGAGAGATCAAGATATCTCAAACTCATTAATAATTCATAAGTAAATTAGCCAAACACATTGCTTTATTTTGCTCACTTGATAATACCATATGCAGCCCAGCAAAATGTGTAAAAATGCATTAAACGCTTAAAAATACGTATACAGTTCGTCTCAATTTGCTATCAAGCGATTTATTTGTGTAGCTCATTATACATGCAGATTCCGATGTTTACCTCATTGTATTTTCATATAGGATAATATACTATATGAAAATACAATGACGTAAACATCGGAATCTGCATGTATAATGAGCTACACAAATAAATCGCTTGATAGCAAATTGAGACGAACTTTATACGTATTTTTAAGCGTTTAATGCATTTGTACACATTTTGCTGGGCTGCCTATGATAATACTGGATACCTGGTTAAGTGTCCAGGTGATCTTGATACGCGGAAAAGTACTGGCACTAGTTGTCAAATAGAAATCCATTTTATGATTAAAACAACTGAACATCTCCTGTAATATACTTTATTTCGATTCCATATTTTAGTCAGAGCTATAGTTCTCCTAACCAAACATAATTACAAAATTTCAACTAGTTTTATAAAGAATAACGAAAGATATAATTGACTGAAACATCAAAATGGATTTCTATTCGGACAACCCTTTCTGAGCGCTGATTGGCTAAAATACGAACACGAGATCACCTGGGTATTGATCCAGTCCTAGACCTAGGACTAGATCAAAATTAATTCAGTCCTTGGTCTTTGACTGGATCAAAATTAATTCAACTCACTTTAAGCACAGAATACTACACAGAAGGCCGTCTCCATTGTTTTTAACCGTAAGCTCTATTCGTCATGATTCGTCACTCAGCAAGTACCGTAAGCAGAAGCAGTCACCCCCCTGGCCATACGCCATTTTTAGTATTTCCAGGAGGGGGACTGCTTCTGTTTACGGTACTTGCTGAGTGACGAATCATGACGAATAGAGCTTACGCTAAAAACAATGGAGATGGACTTCTGTGTAGTATTCTGTGCTTTAAGTAGTGATTTATTCGTATGACATGTCATTTCAAATCTTTCAATTCGGACTGGACTATAGACTTCAAGTTTTCGCATTTTGATCCATGGATCAAATTGCGCGGACTTGAAATCTAATCCAGTCCTTGTCCAGTCCTCGTAGTTGGATTTGAAAGCTTGTTCAGTTGTGTATGCGTGTGTAAGGTTTCTATATCTCTGGGCGATACTATCGAAAAAGTATCGAAATCATCGATACTTACAAAAGTATCGATACTTTCGATACTCGAAAAAAGTATCGGTAATCTCCTATATCTATGGGTAATTCGATACCACTTGAGCCTGCGATTTTTTTGGTCAGTATTCCTGACCAATTGCGTAATACTTCATAAAGGCAGCAGACTGAAGGCAAAAAATGTTGACATGATGCTGTTCTTTAACAAAAACATGTAGCTAATTAGCAATATATTTAAGAAAAACATTGAACACGTTGATATTGTACATGTTTAGATTTAAAATCATAATTGCAAATGTTATGTTCGATTATTTGGCAAGTACTCCAGTTAGAGTATTTTTTGACTTGTTTTAAAAGTTATTTTAATAAATGGAAAAAATTGAGAATCGGTATCGATTTTGGTATCGGTATCGGCCAAAATTCATGGTATCGGACTGGTATCGTATCGAACCCAAAAAAGCTGGTATCGCCCAATCTCACTTGGTTTGTTTTATTTAAAGGTGGCGAATCATGTTTTGGGGTCTGTTCTCTGCTGTCCCGGATGTTTCAGTGTTTACAGAGCAAAAGCATTAAGAGATGTGTTGGGATTGTATTCGACCACCGCTGATCATGCTGTGGACTTCCTTACTAAGGATATGGGTAAGATCTCTACAGATTTTGATTGATCAGTGTTTGGTTGGACTGGGGTACCAAAATCCATGTACCATGCAGAGAATAAACAGAATATTCGAAAACCAGGTCAAAAATTTGTACAACCAATCGATGTAAATATTGAAAAGCTCCACTCGGCCGCGTAGACAATTCCCATTATAGACTAATTTTAAAACTAGACAAAGAGATGCAAATAAATCACCACAGCTAGAAAGAGCATACTAAAATGAGTAAAATTGCAAAGTTTGTTTGAGAAATGTTGTAAAATGCGGAAAATATAGCCTTGCAAAATTTGTATAGTTTTGTATTGCGTGCGGAAGTTGCTACCATTTTCGGCCCAAATCTGGCAGCAATTTCCGCACGCAATACAAAAGTATACAAAATTTGCAAACTTTGCAAGGCTATATTTCTGCATTTTATAACAACATTTCGCAAACAAACTTTGCAATTTTACTCATTTTATTATGCTCTTTCCGGGAATATACTCTTTTTTCCAAGATAAAAAATTAGTCTATAATGGGAATTGCCTTGTTGTTATAATCCACACTGCTTTTGAGTTTTTCCTGGCTTTCTCTTGTAACAGTATCACCGCAATTTTTATTACCGCCACTAGGTGAAGACCGCTGGCTTTGCACTCTGATGGTTCAAGCTGGATGGCGTCTGGAGTACTGCGCAGCCGCAGAAAACTTTACGTACTGCCCTGACAACTTTGACGAATTCTATAAACAACGTCGTAGATGGATCCCATCAACCCTTGCGAACTTGGCTCTATTGATCAGTGAATATGATATGACATGCAAGAACAACGATTCCATGTCATTTATGTTTATATTATATCAAGCCTCAAACGTGTTTTCAACTCTGATTAGGTGAGCATATATAGTTTGCGGTTTTACTATAGTATATACTGTATTTTGGTATTATGGTATTCTTGACCAGACTATATAAGAAGAATGATACAATGTTATTCAAGACATGCTTATTTTGTGCCAAGCTACTGATAAAAGTATTCTCGACTTTTATAATTTGAGAATTTAAGCCCTGGTGATATGACGGGTGATCTTTCATATTACTTTCTGGGGACATTTTGGACATATGGGGATACCCTGGAACACCTGGGGACACTTGGGAGTGACGGCCGCGTCACAATGCTAAGATTAGAATTCGGATAAGGGTTAGATTTCGGATTAGGAGTGCCAACACCAAGAATTAAAATATTGGTTATATGGTGGTATAATAAACAAGGGTCTATCCATATTATTTCCATGCTATACCCATGGTATGGAAATTGCAATAGACAACTTGCATGTTAGACAATTTTTTTACCTAGCCGATCTAGGCACAAAAAAAGTAAATTCTCGTTAAGAACTTATTAAAATTAGTAAAAGTGCAAAATTTCGTTGCAAAATGTTGTAAAGCTTGGAAAATATAGCCTTGCAAAGTTTGCATATTTTCAGTATATTTGTATTACTTGCG